AATAATTGTTTTTATTTAAGTATACAATATTAAATCAGAAAGTGCAATAAAAAAAATACTTGCACTTATTTATATAAGGCTGTAAAATAATTGTCGATTTGTTCTCTGTGAGAGAATAGTAAATATCTTTATTTTTATAATGTATATTTTAAGATATAAATGGGCACAATAATAACATCCAAATTCATTTAAAATTGTTTTTATTTGTTTGTATGTTATACGTGGTAAAATACTTGGTGCAATATTTTTTATAAATTAAAAGTTGCCTTAAATGATCATCCCATGAATTAAGTAAGTAGTTTGTGTTTTTCTTTGTATTCGTAGAATTTTCTTGGCAGTGAAATACTATGTTATGTATTATTTTTGAATAAAATGTTTTAATATATCCTTTAAACAACTTGATATTTAATAATTAAAGACTATTCAAATCTTATTTTTTGTTAGTATTGTGATTATTCGTGGTTTGAACTACACAATTCTTACAAAATTATTCATTATATTAGATGATTCATCACTATCTCCAATTCTTAATTGGATACTATTATTTGGTTATAAATTTATTTTTCCACATTATGACAAGGTACACTTGTTTGCGTATCCGAACTTGATTCTGGAAATTGATTTTCATTAACAGACATTGTATTTATAGAATTTTTCATCATGTGAGAGTTTGTGCGACATGTTTGACTCATAAGAGGGGGATGTGACTTATCCACACTATTTAAATAATTTCGAAAAAAGTAATTATGATTAGGTACGTTTTGTGGATATAATTTCTCTTCAATACGTCTGTTTATTACTACAGCTTCAGCAAGAGGTATTGGTTCTGTATATGTAAATGTTTTTTTTCTAGTATCAGTCTTATCCTCTGGCTTTTTAATACTAATTGGTCCATTAATGACAGGAACTGCGTTACACACTTCACTAGTAGTTCTAATGACAGGTGTAATATTACCCATTGAATCTAATCTAGAATTAATTTGATCATTAGAACTTACGTAAACCATTGATACTTTAGTTGAATGTTTCAATGATGAATTGGAAGTTATTCTTTGTGTCTTTTTTGGTTTTTGCTTTTGTTTTGAATTTATTAGTTTAGGTTTTACTAAATTTGTACTTGTATTAGAAATCGTATCTTGTAATTCAGTACTTTTCAAAACTGAATTATCTGGATGATGATGTCTAATATGACGATGTAAATTATCTTTTCTCCTAAATACAGTTTGACAATATATACAAGAAAATGGTTTTTCATCTAAAATAAATTTTATATGTTATTATATATTATTACACAATACATTTTTATAATTTACCTGAATGAACTGTCAGGTGACGTCTTAATTCACTTTTAGATAAAAATACTCTGCTGCAGTGTGCACATGAAAATGGACGATATTTTCCGTGTATTTTTTTATGACGAATTAACAATGATTTATCTTTGAAACTCTTATTACATTCGTCACATGTATGAGGTCTTTCACCTGTTAATACATTAAAAGCATAAGTTATTACATAGTTATTTAGTTCTTTTCACTGTATTTAATAATGTTGAAAATTGAATGTCTACAAGATATACAAGTTCAGCAGTGAATGTATTAAATTTTATTTTCATATAGATACTTACTTGTATGTATCTTTAAATGACGCTTTAAGTTGGTTAATATTCCAAAAGATTTTTCACAGGATTTACAAGAATACCTAGCTGTAGCATTATGTGTGTTCAAGTGGTTTTTTAAATCATCTCTCTTAGTATATCCTTTATTACACTGAGGGCATATGAACTGTTTTTCTTCTAAAAGTTTATTACTTTCTTACAATAAAATTGAATTGAGTCATCATTTATCTACGTTATTTCCAATAAGTTCAGTTATTAAATGTATGTAAGAAATTAAGTTTTATACTACTACAAAGTAAATTTTATTTTCATGTGAAAACTTACTATTATGCGAGTACATATGCCTATTCAGTTTATTCTGTTGAGGAAATGCTTTTTCACAAAGGTTGCACTTATATGGTTTGTATCCTCTATGAACTCTTTCATGATATTCAAAATGAGAACGTTTAATAAATGTTCTATCACAAAAAGAACATTTATAGGGTTTAACACCTGTTACACAAGCATCGTGATAACATTTCCCTTTTTTGTTTCGAAAAATTTTGTTGCAAATACTACATTTATATCTTTCTGGTGTTCCAGGTAATATTAAAATATGATTACGGTCAAAACTTTTCATAGATTTACTTTTCACTAATTTTTCTTTAGTTGGAAAGTCTGTCTTAGCATCCTAAAAAGTAATAATAATGTATGCTCCATTAAGTAAACATTATGTATAAATTTGTATACATACTAAATCACAATTATTTGTTAATCTTTCATTGTAACATGAAGGTTCCATTGACGAATCATGATTTAAATATGTATGTGTACTTAAAACTGAATTCTCACTGTCTGCCTTGGATACATATAGCTTATTAGAAATATCATTTTTACAACCAGTTGTACTAGATTTGTATGTTTCTTTTTCTTTAATACTTGTATCCTCATAGGACAATTCAGAATTATTTATGCAATTGTTTGAACTAAATTCAAAATTTTTGTCTTTGTATTTCGAATGTTTATTAATAA